TTTCTGGGCACATACGCCATTGCCAGCTGCTCTTCTACTTTTTGGCATGCACATGTGCACTGGCCAGCTGGTCTTCATGGCGCTGGAGCATCAGAAAACAGCTAAAAAATGGCCTGAACACTCCCCCAAAATGGCCTGAAAATGGCCCGAAAAACCAGCATGTGTGCACCATCCAGCTGGTCTTTTTAGTATCATAGATATTTGTTATTTGATATTTGTTATTTATTATCAATAAATCAGTTTGATATGAAGGGGTTAAAAATGAGTAGAATTAAGAACTGGAAGTTCCTATATTGCCTAGACAATGAGAAAATGTCTTCACTTCCATATCATGAGTATCAATGAGTATTAAACTACAATTTATATAATAAAAAATATTTAGAATTTATTAGAATGCAGAATTTACTTCTGTTCATTATGTCTGTACAGAAAATAATTGTCTAGGACAGCATTTTGTTGGAAATGTAATAAGGATAATGCTTCTTTAAAACACATGCTTTTCACAATGTCCTACACTTATTACGTTTTGGAGGAAAGTAGTTGATTACATAAATATGACTGTGTGACAAAAATTAAAATGTTCAGAGGGTAATATTCTCTCACATTACATATTTATTTCATGAAATTTGACAATTGGACAATGTAAATGGATTCTCCATGTCCTTAATACGGTGAAAAGATTGATAATCCAGCATTGAAAAGATAAAGACACGGCCCAATTTACCTGATAGATTAAAGCAGAGGTTGGCTGCTATGGATTCGCCTGGCTTTAGGAGAACCTGTAGCTAACATTATGGCCGGTTCGGAGAATCTCCACATCCCACCCCTGGCTGGCCCTGCCCACCCCACCCCACTCTTCCCAGGAGTCTCCATGCAGCCCATTTTTGATGAAAGGTAAGTTCAGGGCCTATGCAGAGGCTCAGGGAGTGGGGAAAATGGGGTCTCCTGGAAGCTCCGCAGGGCCTCCGGAGCCTGAAGGAAGCAGTTTTTCCTTCCCAGAAGCTCAAGGGAAGCTTTTGAAGCATGGACCCTAACCCAACTAGGCTATGCCCATGCCTACCCAGCAAATGAGCAGAAAACCTGTTGCTGAAATTTTTGAAGCCTACCCCTGGATTTAAGTCATGATTGCCACCTATGATAGACTGCCTATAGATTTTGGATAATTCAAAGGACATAAGGGATGCATTTATACAAAGGATAAATGAAAGTTAAAGATAAATGATAGTTATATAAATGTGTGTATGTATATGTATGTGTGTGTATGTATTCATTTTTCTTTCACTTTTTTAAAAAAAACACTTTATGCATTGTTTCTTTTTTATGAGAATGTATGCATCTGCACTACAATTGTTCTTCTGTTTTATTAATTTTCTTTTTCTGTTATTACTTTAAAAGCAAGAAAAATAAAATATGCATTTCCTATGCAATATTCTAGGCATTCGAGACATGGCACTGTGGCTTTAGACTGCGTACAATCCTAACTTCGTTTAAGCATATCAGATTACATGAACCATCATTTGCTGGAATAGCCCTTGGGGTAGTGATTGCATTATAAAACAAGACAAAGGCCAGTTTTCTTGGATTCTCAACCACATTACTAGGCTGTTCAGCACTATTTGCTCTCCATAAAATACAGTCAGTGCTATCAACTGATGGAAAGATGATGGAGTCCTTCTGTAAGTGAATTATTTTGTTTTGAGTTTCCAATGCAAGTTAAAATGCATAACTATTTGTAACTCAGTATTATAATAAGCCTATGAAGCCAGAGATTTAGTCCCTGATTTTTCTGTCGAAAAAGATCTCAGGAGAACAGGAGTTGTGTTTCTCTGTAGTAGAGTAAACTAAACTTATTTTTATTATTGTGTTTTTCTGTGATACACTGTGCCATGCTGAGTGATGATAGTAGAAGTCAATGTACGGAAGACATTATATTAGGAACCGTTAGGATTAGGCAGACCAATAATCTGATTTTGTATAAATGAATGAACCAATCAACTTTTTTTATTAAACTAGTAGGTTAACTGTGAATGCAGTAGGATGAATTCCCATAGTTAAATTTTTTTAGATAGAATGTTTGGGTCGCATCGCCAGAAATATTTCGCTTGGAATGGACACTTCTAAAGTGGCATCAGCTGAAATTTGTGTGTATCTCAGTGAAATGGAGTAAATGAAAGATTGTTGATTTAAGATATTTTGCCACATACCAATCAAAAGAATTTAACATATTAGTACTTGCATTCCTCCATTTATTTTATCTAGTGGTTATGTAGTGTTGCTATAAAGCAAATTTTCTAATGGAAATTCATGGCACAGATCTCTTTGATTATTTTTAGATCTTTTGTGGGGTTTTTCAGATCTCATAAATGCAAGTGAGATAGAACCTATGAAGTAACAGAATAAAGGATGCAGAATTATTATAATTACACCATTCAAGTAGAAAGCGTTCGTTTTGCCCCACAATTAATTTCAAAAATAAGTTCATTAGATCATGAATCATATATACCCTAATTGACCTTTGAAGCATTTGACTACATAAATGAGTCAGGATTTAGTATTTATGATCCAAAGGCATAAAAGAGGAAATCTTAGAATAGCATGGGAGTTGGAGAACAGGAAAAGTGACATATCAGGGCTGCCAATTTTTGCTTTATTCTTGTTGGGTTCTGTTACTTTTTAATTTAATTTTATATTATTATATTATTGGCTTGAACTATATATACTACTCAGTACTGCTTACATAAGATGAGCAGCCATATACATTAAATGTTACAGAAACATAATTAATTGGACTTAGATCAGAAGAGGGTTGCTCCTGGTTTGGCCTGGATCGGGTGAACTGGTAGTGGCCATAGTGGGAGGCTTCGCCCACCTGCCTGGACGCTTCTGTGCATGCATGAGCAGTAGTAAAAAAAAAATGGAAACCCACCACTGACTTAGATTATTTTGAACTTTGTGCACATTGTTGAAAACAATTTGGAATTCCTCAGGATAATTATAAATATTATAATTCAACTGCATAGAATATAGTTTAAAAAATCCTCTGTGTTACAGTATATTGGAAAACACATGGAATATATGTTTACAATGACGATGATAATGATCTATCACTATTGTCGTATGTACACTGAGAGCTTATGCACTGAAGACAAATTCCTTCTGTGTCTAATCACACTTGGCCAATAAAGAATTCTAATTCTAATCCTAATTCTAATTTTAATATAAGGCTGTGATTCCACATCCAGTCAGCTTGCCTTTATATTGAATATTTTTGGGAAATCCATCATCAACAATATTTTAATCCATCATTAACACGATCTTCCATTTCTAACCATACTCAAGACTTTTCATAAAAATCATACTGGATTATTAATGGAAGTAGCTATATATATATATATTTTGATGTGACTGGTGGAATGTTCTTACATTAATATTAACCCCAGTCCTTGTCAAAACATAGTCACACTCATGCAGTTTTCTTGGCAACAACTTCAGAAGTGGTTTGCCATTCCCTGTTTCCTAGAGCTGAGAAAGCGTGACTGGCTCAAAGTTCTCCAGCTGGCTTTGTGCCTAGAGTGGGACTTAGAGCTCATCACCTCCTAGTTTGTAGTCCTGTGCCTTAACCACACCAAAAAAAAATCTGTTTCCCCCTTCCCCCAAAGAGGATGCCCAGTAGACATGGTGATTAGCTGCTGTGTCACATTTTCTAATATGGGAAAATGGGAGGGGGCCTGAAGGCCCAAATGTAAAAGATGGTTTCCAGGTCTGACATGCTGGGGATGAGAACAGAAAATTGGGGGAGGAGCCAAAAGGATTGAAATGTTCCAAACCGTGACCAAATGGACTCCATGTTGCAATGTTTGTCAATCTATTGTCCATACTCTAAAATATTCAAAAGCTGTTAGATGCAACTGAAGTAGATATTAGTAGAGAATAAGAAGATATATTTAGGATAAAAATAAATTATTATCTGTTTTTGCTTATTTCTAGTACTACTTCTTTTAGTACTATTCTTGAGTGTGCCCAGTTCAGAAAATCATGTTACCAAGGTGGAAGAGTGTTTCCAAGAACCTGAATATGAAAACTGGCTGGCTACTGCAAAGCATGGTCTAAGAAGGACCTTGAAACCTAAGACAATTGTGATTGTTGGAGCAGGAATTAGTGGGTTGACTGCCGCCAAATTACTCAGAGATGCTGGACATAAGGTAACTACCCAATTGCCTTTTTACTCAGCTGACAAAAAGACAAATTAGATGTGTTTGGGATGGTTTTGGAACACAAGCAGTCATTGGGATGGGCAAGTAGAGGTAGTCCTTGACTTTCAATGGTTTGTTTAGTAGCCTTTTGAAGTCACAATGCTACTGAAAGAAGTGAGTTATAACCAGTCCTCATACTTACGACTGTCGCAGCTTCCCCATGGTCACATGATCAAAATTTGGATGTGTGGCATGTATTTATGATGGTCCTGTGAATCACCATTTGTGACCTTCCCAGCTGGCTTCTGATAAGCAAAGTCAATGAGGGAAGCTGGGTTTGCTTAATAATCATGTGATTTGCTTAATAACCATGGCAAAAAGTGGTAAAATTGCGCACACCTCACTTAGCAACTGCCTTGCTCAGCAATGGAAATTCTGGTCCCAATTGCAGTTGTAAGTTGAGGACTGTGTCTATAATATTTGATGCATAGCACTTAGCCCTTAGTTACGGCACTGATATACCACTTCACAGTGCTTTACAGCCCTCTCTAAGCAGTTTACAGAGTCAGACCCAACAATCTGGGTCCTCATTTTACCCACCTCAGAAAGATGGAAAGCCGAGTCATCCTTGAGCCTGGTGAGACATGAACTGGCAGCCACTGATCAGCAGAAGTAGCCTGCAGCCTGAATAATATAAAGACTAAAAATCAATTATTATTTGTGAATATTTACTTCAATTATTTGATTTTTTTAAATTTAATTCATGGTCTCCTAGAGGAGCCAGAATAGTGTAGACATTAAGACCCCAGGCTAGAAACTGGGAGACTGTGAGTTCTAGTTCTGCCTTAGGTTCAAAGCCAATTGGATGACCCTGGGCCAGCCACTCTTTCTCAGACCCTGGAAGGAGGCAACGGCAAATCACTTCTGAAAATACTTTGCCAATAAAACTGTAGGGACTTGTCCAAGTAAGCTTTGAGAGAGGGAGGAGGGGGAATTAAAGGACCAAACTTTATAATAATTGCTGTAATATATTAATAGCCAACAGAGAATATAACTCCAGCCAATAAAGATTTGCAAAGATAAATCAAAGTTCATGTGAAATCAAAGGGAGATTTGCAAGGGAAGGCACACACAGGTACAGATCACCAAACACTTAATGAGAAGAGAAAGAAATTAGAACAATCCATTCCTCTTTTCTCCTAGGTTGTGATCTTGGAAGCCAGTAACCGGGTGGGAGGACGCGTAAAGACTCACCGAGAAGATGACTGGTATGTGGATTTGGGGCCGATGCGATTGCCCAAAGCTCAGAGGTAAGGTTGATTGAAAGGTCTTTCTCCATCCATCATCTGATGTGAGAGGCAAATTCATTCACATTTAATAAATTGTTGCCTTCCTGAAATGCTAGATATATTGTTAGAAAATTTAGAACGGTTAAATTGCTTACTGGAACAGGACAACAGTTGTGTTGATAAGACGTAGCTCTGTAAACTATCCAGAAAGCTTGCATTTTGCAACATCATTTTTGGGTGGCCCATCAGAGGTGATATTCAGCCGGTTCGGACCTGTTTAGGCAAACCAGTAGCTCCCACAATCAGTTGGCCCCACCCACCCGCCCCCACCCTATCTTGTCCTTTATT